GAGAGAGAGAGAGAGAGAGAGAGAGAGAGAGAGAGAGAGAGAGAGAGAGATAGAGGAGTGTGTGTGTGTGTGTGTGTGTGTGTGTGCACATGCAGCTATACACGTGCGCTGATATATCAAAAACAACAGTACCAACAGCAACAAGTACAAAACACAGCAACAGCAGCAACAACAACAGCAACAACGACCACAAAACAACACCAACAAACATTACAATAATAATGTCCAAACCTGTTAGCAATTATGCAGGCTATGCAGAGACAAACCAACAGAATACCTAGGATAATTCCTAAAATTATGAGTGCCAGCATCCAACCTGAAATACAGACAAAGCAAAAATATCAACACCGTCACACACATCCGTGGAATTTATCGGTACTGTGCGAGTGTAAGTTCTAAGTATTGATAGCTAACAACAATTAACAAATTCTAAGAATTGTAAACTCTAAGTGTGAGTCATAAATGTCTCACACTTAAGTGAAATTAAATGATACTTAATTGATTCTGGTCGTTAAGTTTCATTACAAGCGTATCGTATACGTTTGCAAAACGTTCCAAAAACCTGACACATTTGCGTTGAACATAAACGTCATTAAATAACGTTATTTGAACACCATACATACACCATATAACCACATATTATACATACAACATATAGCCAAAGGCCCTTGGAGGCTCATGTGTCAAGAAGGGTGCTAGTCTATAAGACATGACCCAGAGTAAAAGAGCGAAGCGCTTCTCTCTTTTACTCTGGGTCATGTCTTATAGACTAGCACCCTTCTTGACACACGAGCCTCCAAGGGCCTGTGATATAACATATAATAACGCTGTAATCACATTTCTACGTTAGCTGGGTATGAGTGTAGTCGGTGGAGACAACAATAACATTATTAAATAACTTCATCCGAACACCATACATACAATATAGAACATATAATCAGGAGTTCATGACGACAAAGACTTTGTCTCTATTAACTCGTGATATAATAACGCTATAACAACGTTTCTATGGTAACGGTTTTAGGTGTGAGTGGAATCGGGGTGGAGGCAGCAACAGTAACATAATCCTCTGAAGTTCGTGAATTCGCTGCTCGTCGCCCACACGCCGTCTCTACTCACGCTAACCCACTTCCACTTCCCAATTCCATACCTGGCATTCCACTACCACTCTCGTCGCCAAAATTTCCGCCGGTTCCCTCCGCCGGCGAGTCGGCAGCCGCGCGGACTACTATTATTAAAAAAAAAAAATTTTAAACAGAAAAAAATTGGGGGTTGATATTCTTTCCGTACGATCTGAAAACGTTCTGAATTTTTATCGTCACTCGTTTACATAGAATCTTCGACTTCTATTATTCAATATTATATTATATTACGTTATGTTATGTTATGTTATGTTATGTTATGTTATGTTATGTTATGTTATGTTATGTTATGTTATGTTATGTTATGTTATGTTATGTTATGTAAATATATATATATATATATAATATATATATATATATATATATATATACTTTATATATGTGTATGAGCAATTTTTAAGAAGTTTGTTATGATAGTATGTGAGATGCTCCACTCCTATATCTTGCCTTTTGCCATTCCCCATCACGATTCCCGCACATATTTCCGATCTATCTCCCTCTTCCTGCGGACTTCAGAGGAACCCTGAATTCTCTTCCTATTTCTTTCCGCTCGCTTCTACTGTCTAGCCTCATTATTTCCATCTCTTCCTGTATTATCCCGTTCCTCTTATCTCTTCCCGCTCCTTCCATCTCACCTTTTTCCTTCAATCTCTTCCCATTTCTTCCTGTCTCCTCCTTCCCTCCTCCCTCCTTCCTGTCTCCTCCCCCTCTCTCTCTTCCCGTCACGACTCTGTCAGCTTCTTCCCGCTGCGCAGCTTGTTCGTCGGTCCGCCGAACACGGGCGCGAACAGCCTCCTCTCCTCCTCCAGCGCCTCCTCCAGGGGGAGCCTCGCCGCCGCCGCCACGACCCGCTTCGTCGCGCGCACCACCGCCGCCGGCGCGCGCGTCCTCCGCCGCAGCCAATCGCGCGCCTCCACATCCGCGTCGCCGTCGGCGACGACGCCGCACGCGAGTCCGACGGCGAGGGCTTCCTCGGCGGTGAGCGTGTCGGCGGTGGCAAGGAGGCGGAGCGCGAGGGTGGGGCCGATCAGTCGGACGAGGCGCGTGCCGCCGCCCCAGCCCGGCACGACGCCCGCGCGAGCCTGGATGAAACCGATACGGGCGGAGCGAGAGAGCAGCCGGTGGTCGCAGCCGAGGGCGAGTTCAGCGCCTCCGCCGAGAGCGAATCCCTGCGTAGAGAGGTCGGAGAGAGAGAGCGGACAATCAGTTTATGTATACGCATGGTGGCGACGGAACGACGGACAGTAGAAGTAAGGGGCGGTAGTATGGTAGTAGTAGTAATATAGTAGCAGCAGCAGCAGCAGCAGCAGCAGCAGCAGCAGCAGCAGCAGCAGCAGCAGCAGTAGAGCAGTAGCAGCAGCAGTAGCAGCAGCAGCAGCAGCAGCAGCAGCAGCAGCAGCAGCAGTATTAGCAGCAGCAGTAGCAGCAGCAGCAGCAGCAGCAGCAGCAGCAGCAGCGAGAGAGAGAACATATTAACGCCCATCAAAGAAAACGATGGCGTAGCCGCATTGTATTACCGCGGCAAATGTTGAGCTCCTGGCTTCTCTCATCCGAACTCGCTCCTAATGGTAGCAGGCGGTCGCGCG